GGGAAACAAAAAAGAAAAAAAAAAGAATATTTATGAAAATAGAATCGGCGGGGTACGAGCAAACATGGGTTCATTTTTGGAACATTTTTAATAGAGGACCACCGGCGTTCGTACATACATACATTGTAAGAGTATTCATATAACTATATCGCCTTAAGTTGCTGTACGCAAAAGGAGCAACATTGTCTTTTATATAGAGCTGCACTCTTAGTACGGAATATTTTTTTTTGGGTCGTCTTTGCCGTCACCAACCGTCCATCCCTTAGCTCGCGTACCATGCAAAGCAATCCTTTCTCATTTTAATCAGAGAGACTCCTCATATCTTCATCTGTTTAATTCGCGATAAAATCATTCTTAACATTCTTTGTTGTGATTAGCATACACCAGATGGTTACACGATTCATAACAAATATCTTCATTGATCCACATGCTTTCTTTGTCACGTGTTACTATCAGGTGAATTTCTTGCATTCTGTTTCTTCGTTCTTCTTTGGTTGAAGCTCTAATAGTGAAACTACTTAACGCTTTATAGAGTTTAGTGTCAGTCGAGTGATCATGTTTTACCGTAGCTCTGTTACGTTAATGTTTTTTCTTATCTCCCAACGCTGACAATCGAGTTTAGATACAGGTACAATGGACGAAATTTCTATAAGCACGTAAACTCGTCCGGACCATTTACGTTGAACCTTATCTCGTCAGAAAATATTACAGTTTTTTGCGAACTCTAATCTTGCATTTCTGTGGTCTTGCGTAAGCGGAGGTTTTATTACCTTTCTGGTCAATTCAGTCGTTTATCTTGATGTAATCTTCATTGTGCACTTGTTTCTGTGTATGTTGTCAACTATGGTGATTTTACTTGCAGTATCGATAAAAGATAATCAACCGTCCATACCCTTCTGTCACCCAATTTTCATAGACTGATTTAAGATTTTGATCATGGAGTTTGACGAGACCCTCAGACGAGAAGTGTCTGAGAGCGTTCAGAAAAATTACACTATTCGAAATCAATGAGAGATCAACCCTTCTTACCAGCAAGGAGTACACCTTTCCTCTTTGCGTTTAATCATTATAGATATTTTTCACCTTGTCTTGTAAAAAGTTGGTGTCCGGCTTGACTATGTTGGCCACTAAACTATTTTCTATTATTCCTTCACTTCTTGTACTTCACACTTGTACTTCACTAGCAATTACATTATTATTTGTTATTTTTCTAAAAACATGAGCGTGATTACGACTTGTTAATTTCGTATTACTCGTATAATGGTTTCTGATGTATTTTTCACGTAATTTTAGAAAATTATGTATGCAAGTACTAAATCTATTTACTTTTTTGTGTTATTTGTTAGGTACTGAATCCTATTTCATGATATATTAATATTTCTGTCTGCAAAGTGAGAATCCGCGAACCTGCTTACATCCACTGTTCCACAGTAAAGATACTATAATTGTTGAAACGTTTTTTCAAACTAGCATGGGATAAAAATATAATTGACTACTGACGGGCGAAGAATAAAAAACAGTGTATATAAATTTACAAGAAAATGGATACACTAAAGAGGAAATAGGGAATATAAATATAGATCTATTCATAATGGATCGCACCCCGCAGGATCATCGCAATACACACTTGAAATTCACTCACGTGTGTCTTTCTTTATTGAACGACTGTCTAAAAATGCGTCGGTATTGCACCCTCCGTACTACATACACAGTTCCTTAAAATTAACTACTGGAACTCCGGTTTTCGTCCCAAAAATGGTCGAAGAGTGTCAGTCTGGACGACGTCGAGGTTGCGCTACAGGGTGTTGCACTTCGTATCGACACCGTCCACTGTGCCCGACACCACACTAGTAACATCTCTTTATGAAATCCGCTATTTTTTGCCATAAATCATAGTGTTTTTATAGAAATTTCGTTCACTATATAATAAGTCTCCAGTGACTTTACGTGCCAGCTTTAACTCGTTCCCCACATTCTTGCTGAAGACCTTATATGCAATATAAGTACGATTTGACATGATTTTTTCCCAGCAGTTGATTTACTGAATTTTTCCTGGTAACAGCCAACGTATCTTGTCTATGTCCTTTATCGCATTTTGCCGATAACAGTCTGAGTGTTTCACTTCGGATTACTGCTTCAACCAGTGTATGTGCGTCGAGATCATGGCTAACACCGCTTCATATTCTTTTAGTTTTATGTATCAACCGGCATTTGTCCCACCAGTACGACCTTTGCGCTGCTTAGATATTTGATCATCTACATGTCTTCTTTCTGCTATACGGGATGCCTTCTTCATTAAAAGACAGCTAAGTATGGGGCTTAATTTCCCCAAGGAAATTCACTACTACCCTACATCCGGGTATAGCTATAAAATGGTCAACTACATCTGTACAAAACATCCAGCAGGGTGCTTAAATCAAATTTATGTTTTGCATGTATTGCCAATTTCTGCCGTTCGTTATCCCAATACCAGTAGGTAGAATTGTGGTCATAACTGCAAGACACACTTTCGATGCCTGCCGTCCTGAAAAGAGTATAGGGGACTATTTTAGGCCTTATATCTGGGGCCAT